GGCACTTTGTGAAGCTTAAGAGATTTGGGATGGATAAAGAGTCTGGAGAAAGACTGTCAGGAACTTTGTGTGTGCCACTTAGAACCTAGAGAACGAAAGAAACATTTAAACAATTGTTATTTTTTTGTATGAACAGGTCTATGGTATTTGCTGTTTAGGTAACTTTAGTTCCTCTTCCTTCTCCCATTACAAGAATGCCAACTGATTTCTATATGATTCTTATGTTGTGTAATAAAAAAAACAATTTTGGCATCACTTTTATTTCTAAAATAAATATTCTATGCTTCTATATATAATAATAAATAATTATAATAATAATTGAAGAAATTGGAGCACCACTTGGGACACTATTGGCATTGACAAATTCACCATCAGTCAATTGGAAAAGGCAGGCTTACTTGGAACAGCTTACATCCTTCAATCATATCTGTAACACCATCAAACATCCACATACTGTATGCCTCTCTCGGGTCCTTGGGAAGAACTCAGTAGACAGACAAAATGCCAGATCCAGTCTCACCATCCGGCTGATTGTGCAATGAACCATAATAATAAAGATGAAGCCCTTTTTTTCCTGATAGCAGACCAAACATCATTCCCCCACCCAGGTTATTACTATAGGCTTTTATTTGCTGGGACTTCTACCATTAAAAATGCCACTCAAACAATGTATACCATGTTCCTGTTTAGATCTGTGGAGAGAATTCTGCTAATAGGATGACAATGGGATGTGGCACAAAATGTTTGAAAAGTCGCTTCACTTGGGTAAAAGTTTAAAAGAGGACATTCTGTCAAACCTGCTCCATGAAGTAAAGCAATTATTTTGCTTTCCTACCAATGCTGCTTGACCTTGTTCTCCTCTGGAGCTCTGAAAGCCTTCTTCTGTAAAGCTAGCCTGCCAAGAAAATCCTGATTAGTGCTGGCTTCTCCCTTAATGTTGGCTGAGACAGTTCAACATGGGCCAGTTTCTGCACATCTAGTTGGCCAATCTGGCCAGTTTCAGATGTATTCCCAGCATGGAGCACCTTTCTCCCATGAGGCATAGTACAGAGCACACACCAGAATATTAGCAGACCAGCTACTTTTCAAGCCAAAGGACATGTCTGGCCTTTGGGTAATGGGCCTGGACCACATTCCTGTTAGAGTTTGCAGCAATGGTTGATGGTCGGATTCCGAAAGATCTCCTGTATGGAGAATTAGTGCAGGGAAAGCACCTTATAGGGAGACCACAGCTGCAATATAAGGATATCTGCAAGAGAGATCTAAAGACCTTGGGAATGGACATTAATGACTGGGAAACCTTGACCTCTGATCATTTAGCTTGGAGGCTAAAGACGCAGCATGGCCTTCACAAATTCGAAGAGACACTTGTTTGGCAGGCTGAGGCAAAGAGGCAGTCCCAGAACAAGCAAAATCTGGGGGCTGGGCAGGGGACAGAATGTATCTGCCCTCAGTGTGGAAGGGATTGCCACTCTTGAATTGGCCTTTTTAGTCACACCAGATGCTGTTTTAGGACCTCTTTCCAGAGCACAATACCATAGTCTTTTGAGACTAAAGGTTACCAATGATTATTATTATCATGGTTATTACACAGCCAATTAGATGTTCAGACCAGATTTGGCCTTTTTGTCCACTTATCAAGTCCTTCCCAAGGACCAACGATAGACAGATTTTAATTGATATTGTTAAAGTTATTGTCACAGGATTTAAGCTGTTCCAGGCAAAGCTGCCTTCTGCAACTAATTGATGGTGATTTTGTCAATGCTGACGGTGCTCAAGTGTTGCACTCAAGGTGCTTATTACCTTTGATACTATCGTTACTTTCTTTTGCCACACTGTTATTAATTTATAATTTACTGTTATTAATTTATAACAGTGTGGCAAAATAATTACTTAGTAATTACTGTTATTATTACTATTTATATTTCATTATATAGTATTACATTCTTCAAACTGCATTCAAATTAATCTCATTCATTTATATAGGGTTACGCTTTAAACATTTAACA